AGACCCGAGGGGCAGCTGAGCCCCCCGGGCGGCCAGGGAGGAGCTCGCCCCTGTTTTCCACTGGGGGTACAGCTGAACAGGGAGCCAGGTCGCAGCCTGCAGAAGGGCCAGTCCCCTTGGGGACAAATCCCCGACCTGCCCAGCAGCAGCCACCATTACCTCCGGTCAGGAAGGGAAAAGCCCTGGCTCCAGCTGGAGAGCTGCTCCAGCGCAGCCTCCGCACAGGAGCAGAGGAGCAAGGGCTTGCCTGGACCCGCTGGTGGGGAGCAGCCATTCCCCAGACCCCGGGGAGCGTCACCAGCCGGGCAGGGGTCACAGCAACAGGCTTTTCACCACAGCCACCATGGCAAGAGAGGCTTTACCTTCCTAGAGCAGCATCATCATCGTACTTGCCAGAAAGGGCAGCAGCAGTTTGGGATCTCTCCCGCACCCTCCAGGGCTGCCCTTTCCTCTCCTCCAGCTGCAGAACCGTTCCTTGCAGAGCACAGCCCCGCTGCTGGAGAAGAGCCCTTCTGTGGAGCACTGGCACCCCGGGGGAGCGCCCGGAGCCTGTCACTGCCCTCCGCATCCCCCCCCGGGCAGGAGCGTCTGGGTCTGAGCAGTGGCCTTGGGTCTGCCAGGGACAGCTGGGGGAGCCCAGGATGAACAGACTCACCCACCGGCGCAGGGATGGGACCGCCGTCCTGCCCCAGGCACCCGAGGGGCTCCAGCTACAGCGGGAGAGGGGGCTCCGAGTTCTCCAGTCCCCTCTGGCCCGGTGCTCGGCAGGGAGCATTCCCACATGGGGGACCATCTTGGCTCTTGTCACAGATGACACATCAGTGTATCCTATGAATATTCTATTTGACTCATTACTGAAATGCCAATATGCGAACACAGGCTCTGGGATTAGCAACTACGCAGCCGTGAGACCCTGAGCTCCACAGCTGATCTGTCCCCACTGCAGCCCCTCTGGGCAGCAGGACAGACCCACAGCGGCTGCTTGCAGACCAAGTGAGCAGCAGAAAAATTCAGGTCACCTCCTCCCTCTATACCCACCAAACTGCTGAGACACTCACCTTCCCAGTGCAAATTCTGCTGCAATTTGAGAGTCCAGAAAACACAAAACCCCATAACAGAAGGAAAGCAAAGACACCCCCCCACACACGTTCTCATTCAATTTTCTAGCAAATTCAGCAAAAAACCCCTCCCACAGTGAGAACAAGCAGCTTCGAGCCAGCGATCCCTAACCCCTGCACCACCACAAGCCCAATGTGCCCCGCAGCTCAGGCTGGGCTGCCCAAGGGCACCAAGGGCATTCTCGGGACACAGTGGCCTCTCCCTGGCTCCCGTCAGAGCTCCTGGGAAAAGCCACTGTAGAAGAGTCTCCAGCCAGGGGCCTGGCCCCTTCTGCTACCCAGGCTCGAGCCCTGAAGAGACCAACATACAACTCTTCAACATTTTATTAATGATCAGCAACGGAGGTTTACAACAGAGAGGACAACAGAACTGGTGTGGAAGGACCGTCCAGCACAGTGCAGGGAGCAGCCCAGGACACCCACTGCAGCACCCTGGAATGTAAGAGGCAGAAAGGGGCTCAGCCCAGCACCCACCTGCACCTCCCCGCAGGGGCACACGTGCCACACGTCAAGAAAACAGCCATGACATTTCAGCGATGAGGTCCCTCCCTCAGGTAACCCAGCAGGCACAAGGTGGACTCCGGTGGCAGCAGCACACAGGGCTCTGAGCAGCACCGGGTCCTGCTGCCTCACGACAGCGAGAGCCTTTGGCAAAGGCCCCCAGGGTTCCCACATCTGGAGAAACCCCTCAACCCGCCAGGGAAACCGCAGAACCGCGGGTCCCCGTGCCCCAGCCACCCACCCCTCTCAGCGGCTGCCATGCTGCTGCCCGTTACTGGGGCAGCAAACGATTTGCTGGCACCAGCCACAGCGGAGAGAGGCTTCATCCAGCTGAACCCGAAGTAGCTTTGGGTCTGGCATTTGTGCAGGGGCAGCAGCTGAGAAGAGGGTGCATGGCGAACCCCAGAGCACAGAGCCCGTCAGCACCTCCAGCAGCCAGCACGCAATGGCCCAGCGTCCCTAACACAAAGCTCGCGGGAGGAGCTGCAGGCGCCGCAGCCTTTCCCGGGGAGGCCGTTCTCGTCCTCGCCAGCCTGTGCAGCCGCCCCCCCCACCGCCTGAAAGGCCGCTCTGGAAGGCAGACTCCGGTCAGGACAGAGGGGGCCTGGGCAGCCGCTCCGTTTCCCTCCTACTAAAAGCCAGAAATGGCAGAAGGTAAAAGCACGTGAACATGTTAAAACATTAGTTATAATTAAAACAGTTTGTGGTTGGGTGTTTTTTTTTTTCTTTTGTCAAATATCCTCCTGGGAATAGGGATGGGGGCTGATTAACGGAGGAAAAACTAGGCAGCAGGATCCCAACTCATTATGTCTGCATAATTAGCGCAGGAGAAGCTAGAACAGAAGAGGGGAGGACAGCACATCCTGCATGCCGGCAGCGGTGTCCCTGTCCAGGGGTCCCTTCTCAAAGAGCCGTCTGCTCCTCGAGAGGGCGAGGCTGCGGCGCTCTGCGACCCACGTATCGGCGCTCTGCTGGCCTAGTGCTGCTCCTCTTCCAGTCTCTTCATAGCCTCCAACACAGCCAGCTCTTTTGCTTCCTTCTTCTGGTTCCTAGCTTCAAACTCCAGCCTGCATCAACCACAAAATGCTATGAGGTTCTCATCCATCCACCTCTCAAGCAGACTAAAAGCACCTGGAGCAGGGGAGCTCTGCCTTCTCCTACACTGCTTTGTTCCGGGAGCAGTTCAGAAACCTCACCAGCAGCCCCCAGACTCCTCTTGGGGAGCCAGCACCCAGCACTTCCCTCAACCATTACCATTTGCCCTGCTTTCAGCTGGCACAGAGCTCACTTTCTTCCTAGCAGTTGGCAGAATGTTGTTAAACCCGATGGCTCAGTGGGTGCTGAGCAGGGCTTACACCAGGCAAGGGCTTCTCAGCTTCCCCTGCTCTGCCAGGGGCACAGGGAGCTGGGAGGGGGCACAGCCAGG